TCCACAGCTCGTCCCTAGATGTGCAATTGATGGTAGCGGCGAGCACTCCCACGTGATCGATGAAGTAAAGCACCCTTCGATCGTCGAGGAGTCGACCCCAGACGAATCTCGCGAGCACCAAAGCATACAACTCAACAAGCCCTATCAGGTGTTTCTTGCCGCTCTCGGCCCATAGGTCGACCAGGGAGTCACTCAGCGTGACCCCGAAGTATCGGACCTTTACAGCCCCATTCCAAGAAGCATAAAGTACTCCCCCAACGGTGCAGAGCGATCGAGCAGCACCAGGCTCGCACCAGAGCTTCCAACCTGTATGCGCCTGGGCTCGCCAGCATCCAGGCGCATCTGCAAGACAGCAAAGGCCTCGCGATCAGTAGGAGAAAGTCGATGAACTCCAGAGCCTCGCGAGAGCTTCCTAAGCGTGCTCAAAGCTAGTTTGCCCCTGCGGCCCATGATTTGGGAATCGGCATACTGAATCCTTCCAAACAAGCTGTCGACTTCTCTGACCACCACCTGGCCATCCGATAGGACTTTAGCGACAGACTCGGAAATTTCGCGAGCCCTGTCAGGCTTGTTGGCAACAGTGACGCAAGAAAAATCCTTAGCCCTAAGGTCCAAGCGAACCCCCAAGAGATCGGCCACCGAAGAAAAAGGCAACTCCTTGTCCTCCGAGCAGATCACGCCCAGGAGGCGCATGAGCTTGCGGATCGTCTTCTCGGTGTTGGCCGAAAGCATACTCACATCGAGCACTGGGTAGTCGTCATAGTAGTTACAGGCCAGGCACTCCAGCTCAATAAGGATGCGGTGAATCAAGCGGGCAACGCGATTGAACTGCCCTACGCTCGCGAGCGAGCCGAAGGGTAGGGTATGTGAAATGAAACCGACGGCTTGCCCGTCGGAGGGCCGCCGGAGGCTGACCACACACCTCTTGCTGTCACATGGCCTTAGAGCATACTGTTTGTAAGCAGACTTCAAATCCACGCACTTCAAGACTGGGCGCGCGGACTCAGGCCGCGTGCGCCACACGGTATGCAAAGGGCCGCTGATCACTTCACCAGAAGAAAGACGAAGGTTGACAAATCCTCGATCAACGATGGATTGCATGAGCCTCGATGTTATCCAAAGGAGTTCATCCATCGCACGCAGGTCAATCTTTTCTGCCACTTCCCAGGACGAGTTGACACTGTTCTCGGACAAATCGTCAATGCACCTCAGCTTCCCTCGTTGGAAAATCGCGAACCTCCGTACAGGTATCCAGTGCGGACCCAAAATCTCAGTGAGCTCCTGGTAGCTATATGGGCCGCTCAGCCAGGATTTCTGATCCCTCTCAGCAAGAGTTTGGCTCCAAAGCTCGGCATCGGAATCCTCAGGTTTTGAAGATGAGATTTTGGCCCACAGGGCCGGTCGCAAGAATTTCGATCTTTGATCAAGCTCCTCCTCAGTGAACTCCGAAGGCTTAAAGGATGGTGCGAAAACCCCGGTGACAGGCGCGGACCCCACTATGCCGAACCCTTCCTTAAGGTCCTTAAAAAAATCTTCGTCTGGCCAGTCAAGGGATTTGGCGATACGATCCAGCAACAGCAACTTCTTGCCAGAAAGGACCGCACCAACTCTAGGATCAAGCGAAGCATGAAGAGCTCTCTCAGGCTCGGCCAGTTCATCGGCCCACGCAGACCACTTGGTAAGTAGGTCAAGCCGGCGTCGCATGACGGGCAAGGGACCGTCGATAAGCAGCCGCCCCAAATTCCTGATGAGACCATCAGGCACGTGTGCAAAAGCGTCGAACGGGTGCTCGAGGCGCAAGCTGGCAGCAACGAACTCATCAGGAATCCGAAACACGCCAAACGTGGCGGTGGCAGGGGTACTCGGCAAAGGGGAGAGGGACTTAGGCTTAAGAGAACCACCCCCAAGAAAAGCGAGCCTAAGGAGCCTAGCACCCTTGGGAACGGACTGCAAAGCGGTTTGCAGGCACTTTTTGTCATCCAGCCGCAGCTGGGAGCAATCAGCGACGTGCACGCTGACCATGTATTTGAACTCGGGCATAATCGGCTGCATTTTTGTGAGCTTAGCTTGTTTGTGCACGGCAGGATTAGCATCTGGCAACCCCGATTGGGGGGAAACAAGTAAATCCTCACCAGCCGCCTGCAAGCGCAGATTTTCGGCAAGGTTCTCCGCATACACCTTGCCGAGAACAAAGGCCTTGTCGGGGCAAGAGCAAGAGCAAGCACGCAAATCAGAACAGGCCAGAACAGTGGAGGCCACGCGAACAGCCTTGCAACCGAGGCCGAGTGAGCACCCAGGCCCAACGCACGAAGGCAAAGAGTCACTGAACGGCGATCGTTGCCAAGCCGAGTTATCGGATGGGCCGCAAGCGGTGAGTCCAATCTGTAGCTGTAGCACGTGAGCGACAAAAGATGTCACATGATCAAGCTCTGCAGAATTAAGGGTCTGATCAAGACACATGTGGACATGATAGACCCGGTGAGCCATAACAAGGCGCCGCAAGTATTGCCAAGTGGATTGTCGTTCGGGCCTGAGCTGCAACACCTTATGCTTGACAGGGCCCGCAGACTGGGACCCATAACAGAAAGTTTTAAACCCAATCTCGGCACACGCATGGCCCACGGCACCTCGGCCGCAGAAGAGGTCGAGGACAACAAGCCGGGAAGGCTTCAGCACTTTCAGGGGCTCATGAGCGACAGAGCTCCTGATGTCAGGTAGAGGGCCCACTGGAGACGCGGGCATCACAGCATCGGCGCTGGGAAGGGCAAAACCACAGAACTGGAGCTGAGACAACACCTCAGAGTCGGAATCGCAAACGCCCTTGGTGCTGAAAGCTATGAGCATAACCCGACGACCCTGAAAAGGCGCCACGGCGTGGCAGCCGTCACGAGCATTGAAAGCCCAGGCACCCCGACTGAAGTCGAGATCGCAATCACCGGCTCGCAGTGAGCCACCTGAAAAGTGCGTCAGAGGCATCAAGAGATTCAAAGTCGGGCCGTTGTTGGGATCAGTGTGAGGTTGACTTTCAACCGAGTCAGAGATCAACAGACTTGAAAATTTGTGCGTCGGAAGGACATGCAGGACGCAAGCACACAAGTATCGGCAGACATTGGGATAAATTCGGGTGAAATGCCGCAAACCTTTGATAGGCCCGTGAGAATACGACCCCACCGCGAAGACTGAGCCTTTGGCTTGAGAAAGTCGTGTAATATCAGCCTTTGGCAGAAGGTCAAAGAGAGAAAGCACACTAGCTGCATCGAACAAGTGTTTGCGGTGCAAATCAGAGGCAAGGGCTTCAGGGCCTCCAAGTCGAGGCGCCTTGCCCGGCGACTCACGGTCGCCGTCATTGGATTTCCTTTTAGGAGGATCAGCGGTGGCACAATCACGCGCGCCAACAGAAGGTTCACCGCCCACGGGCGAACCGGCATCATGCATTCTCTCATTGAGTGAAGCACAAGCAGCAACCAATGTTGCAGCAGGCCCCACAGGGCAAGGCATTGCATGGTCCAGCTCATTAGCCGAACTCAGGGATTGAGACTCCAATGAGTCAAGCTGAGGACATTCCCAGCCATCTGCAGTCGCATCGACCACACTCGATAGTCACTCCTTCTTGGGGCAGTTAGCAGCAGTATGGCCGCTCTGACGACATCGGGCACATATATGTATCCCTTTCTCACATCTGCCGCCTTTGACAACCCGGCTGCATCCATTGATGTTGTGATCGAAACATATGGGTTCGCCAGCATTTGTCGAACTGTAGCAGCCCACAAGCGGCTTAGGCAGCACGCCCTTCCCCTTGGCACGTCCTTTACCCGCTTTGCCTCGGCCTTTACCCTCTCGAGTGTATGGGCTCGGCCTCTCGCGAGAGAACCACGGACCCGGAGGCACATCAGAAGAGGAGGAGGCATTTCCAGGCAGGGATTGCAATAGGACTGCCACATCACTCAGATCCATCACCAACGGAATCAGGCCATCCAAGGGGCGGCCGGCTGATGTGGCCTGGATTCCTGCACGACAGCGGTCCTGCAACTCCGAGAAAAGCTTCTGATCGGCCCGCAAGAGCTGCTTGAAGCTGGGCCGGACATGACCTGCCGGCACCTCCTGCATCCGTGCCCTAAGCAACTTCTGATGCCAGACATCGATGACAGCATAATCAACAACATTGGCTTGGTCCAGGGCAAGGGCTCTGCGCTGTAAAGCCTGAAGAAGATGCACCTCGGAGTCGACCTGACACTTGTCATCTGGGGCCTTCGATTCAAGCTTCAAGGTCTTGCCCTGAGCATCGAGTGTGAATCGAGTGTCCTTTTTGGCATCGCCTTGAACCTCGGCAAGCCGACTAGTGCACTTCTCCCAGGCCACGTAGCGCAAAGTGTTCGACTCATATATATTCACGCAGAGATCAACCAAGGCCTGACTTGGTTCAGTCTCGCCTTTTATGTTGATCCCGGTTAACTTCTTCACCTGTCGCGTGTAGCGCTCCTCACGCTCAGGCGCACTGAGAGACCGACTGGGAGCGTCTTCAGTGCGCTCAATGGCCTGCCTAAACTCGGTGGTGACTATGGCGTAAGCCTGCTGGAAAAGAGCCCTGAAGCACGCCTGAGCAGCTAAGTCAGCACTGGTGTCCCTCTTGACTAGAGCATCCAAAGCCGCAATCAAAGGCTTCTCATCGGCTTGTCCCGGAGTGAAGGAGCTGACAAATGCCAGCTGTTTCAAATTCTTCAGTCCAGCCAGCACATTAGTCTGGTCAGCAGCCGACAGGCCCGAGGTCCTGACCTTGTCGCTGAAGACAGCTTCGGACTCTGAGTACGAGGCCGCCATGGCACGACCCAAGCACTCAGCTACAGGTCCTAACAAAGAAGAGCATGGATCGTCTCAGGTGCACGGTTGCAAATCGCACAGCATTAAGACAAAAGCTCCTCACATACCACGCAAGCCGGAAGCATTCACCGGTAGCACAACCGCTCAAGTTGCAATGACCTCTCGCCGATCTCGCGTGAAACTCAAGGCCCGTCCTGGTCAGGACAGCATTGCCTGCAAAGGGGAAACAAAACATTAGGCACAGCCGTCTGGATGTAACTAGTTGACGGCTTGCGTCCGCAGACAATGCGATCACCTTCATCACTGCTGGCCATCAAATGAATGACCCTCGTAGTCTTATGCTTGAAGACGGGACCCTCCCAGGAAGCCAGAGCATCACAGGCCTTCTCGACCTCATCGTGATCCGGAGCCTCCTCGTCTTCACTTCCACTGGAAGAACTGTCAAGCTCTTCTTGCTCCGGAGCATTGGGATCGAAACCTGCATCTTCTTGACCCTTGCGACTGGGAAAATATCCCGAGCGCGTGCTGTCAGGACGGAAGTGATCCAATGCCACAGCACTCACAACGGATCCAAGCTGCCGCAATGGGCCGCTCAGCGTGTCCCTGGCATATACCAACTCCGTTCCACAGTGAGTGCTGTGGTAGCCCAAAATGGCCCTCACGCCTTGTTCCGTTCCATATTTAGCAAGCCAGCTCAACAAGGTCCTCTTTAAGCTGTGCGTTCCAAGCTTTCTGATGTCAGCGGAATCACCGAGCTCGCGCCTCAAAAGCTCCCGCAAAATCCTCGCAGCATGCTCGGCCGAGATGGGCAGCAGACTGAATCCGCCGCCAGTGACAGGCGACGACAGCAACGGATAACCCTCTCGAAGGGTCACCCCCTGTTCCTTTATGAGCTTGTACCATGCAGTCCCCCAAGACTCATCAAGCAGCCCATTAATAGGAGCAACCATTGGGAGGAATCTCGTTTTTCTTTCCAGAGTATACGACGTCTTGGACCTCGTAACAGAGGCCTCCAGGAACCCATAAGGCCCGTCGTCGCTCTCGGTGACATCAAGCATGAGGTTAGCCGAGGCTTGGGCATCGGAGAACCGGGCCCGAGCGTACAAAGTATAGCAGAAAAACCCTGCACAATGTCTGTCGAAGCCGCTGTATTCTTCAATGGTTCCTCCAATCACTATCTTCTCAAGAGTCCTCACGTGCAGCGCTGTAAGCGCCGGCTTCTGGACAGCTTTCCTTTTTTCAAGGTACCTGGTTTTGGCTACCCCTTGTATCCTGCCACTGATGGTCACATGCAGATCGAGGCCCAAGACATGCACAGCGAAATTCAGAGACTCAAGGAAGCTCCTTCCAAAGGTTGCCGCCGCCGTCCGACAATACTGATCCATGAATACATATAAGACGCTCTCCGTCAAAGGAAAAGCATCGAGACCAGCAGATTTGGTGAACTTTACATAACGCATCATCGGTCCCACTCTCGAGTGCAGAGTCGCGCTCGCCTTCAGCGTCCGAACCAGATCTGCCTTGCGTCCCGCACTGGCGTCGCCACTGACTCCCCTGTAGCAATCAAAGTGCTCGCCGTGAGACATAAGAAGAGCCTCCCATTTTGCCACTGCAGCCCGCCTGTTATCAGTCAATTTCTCCTCCCAACTGGGCCCCTTCGTAGCCGGCAGCTTGCCCAATACTTTAACAGCCACAGAAGTTGCAACAGCTCCTGCAGGAGTCGAACTTGGGGCAGGCAGCACTTGCGCAGCTACCTGAGGCCTGCCGACACTCGGGAAGGGAGACGAGAAAGCTGATCGAGGCGCCAGGATGTCGCCCCTCTCCCAGGGCTGCTTCCCAGATGTAGTGGTAGAAACACGGACAGCATAAATCAAGTGATCATCCAAAGCACTGCTGTCCCTCTTCCTTCTCAGGTGACCAGAAAGGTCAGCATCCATGGACCGGGCCCTCTGAGAGGAAACGTCAAAGTTTCGTTTCAAGGGCCCGTTAGAACCTGTTCAAAGTAGCACCCCCAGGCCATGTCAAATTTGCCCATTCAAGGAGGCGCTCCCTCCCACCCACCCTTGATCAAGAATTGCAAGTCACAACATTCGTTATGCCAAGAGCATAAGAGTCATCAAAGGAACTTGCAAAAGAATGGTTCAAAACAAGTGATTGAAAAACGTGATTGCGAAATCAAGTTTTTGGCCAATGCCAAAAAGCATCGTCCGGGTATAAAACATTAAGAACTTCGCTCCGCTCCGTTCTAAATCTGCATCGCAAAGGCGAGAGGTTGGGCATAACGGCGTGGACAAAAGTGGTGCTGGGGCAGAATACCGCTTCCAGAACCTGCCCGGCCGAGTCTCTTAGCTCCAGGAACACCGAAGCTGTGCCGAATGCTAAGCCAACCTCGCGTAAAACTTCATCCGCTGAAATGGCAATAGGTGGCGTAGCATACGCCAAGACTGGCATGTCCCAGAACCAATTAGTCAATCCCTGGAGCAAAGTGTACACAGCTCCGATGGGGTGCTAGGTAGGTAGGTAGGTAGGTAGGGTTCGACCTGCAGCAGTAGCCGCGGCCTCCACCACTCTTCCCCGCCCAGCATCTCGGGGGGCCTCCGCAAGCGTCATCCGCCCCCTCCGCGGGAGGTTCCAGAGGGGGCTTGAACTAGAGTCTGGACTATAAGTGGAAACGAAGGCCGAGACCGGCACGGACTGGTCCCGAAAGAAATGGGGAGCCTGAAACCCGCCGAAATTGGCCCAAGTCTGGGTTATCAGCCCGGAAAGGAAGGTTTGTGCCAGAAGAGGGGGAGGGGCGACGCAAAGTGGGTAACTGGAGAAGGGGAAGGACGATGCACTCGCGGACGCGTAGAGTCTTAGAGGCGGGGGGCCCAGCTGAGCCGGACTCGAAACCGAGGCCTGGCATGTAATGGTAAGAATCGGGGTAGCGGCTACGGCTTCACGAGAAACGTACATTCTCGGAGCGAGACTATACGGCCTTGCGAGAAGCGGTGTCTGGAACGACGTGAGGAGCGACGCGTACTGCGACAGAAAGAAGCGGAGCTACTGCCGTGCGCGGGTCGTTTACCCAGGTCCCCGATCTGGGAGCTAGAAGCGGGTCTGGAACGACTTGGGGAGCGCTGTGTGGTGGACGCGATGGAAGAAGCGGAGCTACGGCCGGGATTTAACAAACCGGGAGAGAAGGGGGGACTGGGACGACATGAGGGGCGCTGCTTGGTGGACGAAATGGAAAGAGGCGGAACTACGGCCTTACACGGGTCGTTTACCAAGACCCGCCACCTCGGGGTGGGAAGGGGGGTCTGGAACGACAGGTGGCCGAAATGGAATGAAGTGGAGCTACGGCCTGACGCAGGTCGTTTACCAAGACTAAGACCCGCCACCTCGGGGTGGGAAGGGGGGTCTGGGACGACATGAGGGGCGCTGCTTGGTGGACGAAATGGATTGAGGCGGAACTACGGCCTTACACGGGTCGTTTACCAAGACCCGCCACCTCGGGGTGGGAAGGGGGGTCTGGAACGACAGGTGGCCGAAATGGAATGAAGTGGAGCTACGGCCTGACGCAGGTCGTTTACCAAGACTAAGACCCGCCACCTCGGGGTGGGAAGGGGGGTCTGGGACGACATGAGGAGCTGCGTGGTGGACTAAATGGGAAGAAGCGGAACTACAGCCTTATGCGGGTCGTTTACCAAGACCCGCCACCTCGGGGTGGGAAGGGGGGTATGGAGCGACATGAGGACGTGCGTGGTGGCCGAAATTGAAAGAAGCGGAACTACGGCCATACGCGGGTCGTTTACCAAGACCCGCCACCTCGGGGTGGGAAGGGGCGTCTGGAACGACATGATGAGCTGCGTGGTGGACGAAATGGAAAGAAGCGGAGCTACGGCCTGACGAGGGTCGTTTTCCAAGACCTGCCACTTCGGGGTGGGAAGGGGGGTCTGGAACGACATGAGGACCTGCGTGGTGGACGAAATTGAAAGAAGCGGAACTACGGCCATACGCAGGTCGTTTACCAAGACCCGCCACCTCGTGGGTGGGAAGGGGGGTCTGGAACGACATGAGGAGCTGCGTGGTGGACGAAATGAAAAAAGAAGCGGGGCTACGGCCTTACGCGGGTCGTTTACCAAGACCCGCCACGAACGACACGAGGAGCTGCGTGGTGGACGATTTTTGTGGCAACAAGCCGAACTACGGCCTTACGCGGGTCGTTTACCAAGACCCGCCACCTCGGGGTGGGAAGGGGGGTCTGGAACGACATGAGGAGCTGCGTGGTGGACGAAATGGAAAGAAGCGGAGCTACGGCCTAACGCGTTTCGTTTACCAAGACCCGCCACCTCGGGGTGGGAAGGGAGGTCTGGAACGACATGAGGAGCTGCGTGGTGGAGGAAACGGAAAGAAGCGGAGCTACGGCCTTATACGCGGGCCGTTTACCAAGACCCGCCACCTCGGGGTGAGAAGAGGGGTCTGGAACGACATGAAGAGCTGCGTGGTGGAGGAAACGGAAAGAAGCGGAGCTACGGCCATACGCGGGTCGTTTACGAAGACCCGCCACCTCGTGGGGTGGGAAGGTGGGTCTGGAACGACAAGAGGAGCTGCGTGTTGGACGAGACGGAAAGAAGAGGAGCTACGGCCTGACGAGGGTCGTTTACCAAGACCCGCCACCTCGGGGTGGGAAGGGGGGCCTGGAACGACGTAGGAGCTGCGTGGTGGACGAAATGGAAAGAAGCGGAACTACGGCCATACGCGGGTCGTTTACCAAGACCCCCCACCTCGGGGTGGGAAGGGGCGTCTGGAACGACATGAGGAGCTCCGTGGTGGACGAAATGGAATGAAGCGGAACGACGTCCATACGCAGGTCGTTTACCCAGATCCCCGATGTCGAAGCGAGCAGGGTCTGGAACGACAGGGGGAGTCCTTCACTATCCGCTCTCAAAGAGCGCTAACACACGTCGAGGAAGAGGAGACAACGCTAGGAAACCTACAGAAGTCGGTTACCCAGAACCCTGTGTGTGACTGGAGGGGGTGACTTGGTAGGCACGCGTCGAGGAGGTGCCGAACCTAAGGGGCCTGTTACTAAAGAATCGGATGCCCAGACTCCCAGGAACGGCGAGAGGGGCCGACTGGGATGACACAGGATTCTACTCGAGGGAGTGGATGCGAAGGTTAGATAACGCAAACACTCGTCGAGGAAGTGGAGGCGAACCTAAGTAACCTGCAGAGGTCGGTTGACCAGACCCCCGTGAGTCGGCGCGAGGGGGAGTGGGCTGCGCATGAGCATGTCAGGGAGCAGCGGTGATGAGGTCTTATACGGCCAAGGTGAGCGGTGAAGTTGTCCAGTGTAGGGTCCATGCTTGTGCGGAGAAGTGCCTGCGAAGCTCAGGTCGCAGCTGAAGTTGCGCAGTGAGGGAGGAAGGCCATCCGGTAGGCAATCGAGGCGGTCAACGAAGGCCCTTGCGACCAGCAGGTGATCATGTCCGCCAGCTCGGTGGTGATGCGAGGGAAGAGAGGCATACCGGATTGCGACAAAGGAGCGAAAGGCAGAATGAATACACGCAAGTAGGTAGACACTACATGTGAGCGCATGGCGGAAACTAGGGAGGCGGCTGAACGGATGGATGAGCGCGGACTGGCAAGAAGATGGGCGAGGAGGCCTGGAATTTAAGGAGCCAATGGGGGGGGCACTGTCACCCCGCCGCAGCTGACGATACAAGGTGTGGGTGCTCATCGGGCCTGGAAGGCAGCCCTTAGTGCCGCCCCGGGGGTCCACACACCTTAAGAGGAGGGGAATCGTCAGAAGGCTGCGACGGGCCCCGGGGATGGGGTGCTACCAACTCGGATTCGAGCGAGTTCACGCTGGGCCATGGCGTAACTACTCTCTGCTCAACCACGAGCAAATAGCGGGGAGTAGTATTACTCACCGAGGCAAAGCCTATCGAGCCCAAAATGCAGCGTCAGCATTAAATCCAAAGATCAAAGCGCCCGACAAAACATCACAACAGTACAAGTAAAATGCCGAGGCCAAAGTCCAGAATGAGCAGAACATTAGCCCCGCCAAGAAGGGGAAAAACAAAACCGATTCCCCCCCCCTGCTGCTAAGGACTGGAACTGCGATTTCGAAAAAGGAAATAGCTCGCTTCCTATTCACACACTGAATGGAAAGACCAGCACCCAAGCAAAGATCAGCCCGGAGATGCCCGCCCTCACGGGCTAGCCGCGCGGCGAAAGAAGGCGTGTAGTCCAACACAATGTCGCTTGGCTGCGCCCAATTCCTTGGCTGCTGTGCGCTTGAGGTGCGCTCGGCGGGCAGTGTGCTCAGGAACAGGAAGGGGACGGGCTCGTCGGCTACTTACTGTGGGCCGCCCCGGTGTAAAGGGAATGGGACGGGATGGGCGGCAGTCTAGGGCGAGATGCGCAACAAGCTCCTGGTGAGGCTTGGCAAGATCAGCGACGCGCACAAGCTCCTCCGGGTTGGGCAAGTGCCGTACGACACTGCCAGTCGCCTCGTCAAGGAGTTGACCGAGTTCGGCTGCGACAGCCTGTTGTAGTACCGGCACACAGATAGCACTATCTGCGACACGGACATACACACCGTCATGGAGCCAAACTACACCATGTGCAACGTCAGGCAATAAGGCACTGAGCAGAGCTCGGGCTAGACGGCCCTCGACTGCTTCAAGCACGAAGTAAACCCAGTTGCGCGAGGTGGATCGCTGATCTCGCTGATACCATTGCAGTCGATGTAAATTGGCGGCAAGGTACTCTTTCGCCTCATCGATGGCGTACAGGACGCGCTTCGCCGCTGCCGAGGCAAAGGAGAGGCCCCCTTGATGCAGCTGCCCTATGGCTTTAGCTGCAGAGCTATTAATAGTGTAATTGAGAAGTCGCTTGGGCGACAGTGTGGCCCAAGCATGCCCTTGAGACGGACAGCCACGAGCCAGGA